GGAACAAGAAGACATTGATGATGCCCTTCTACAGGAGCCTTGGAGGATAGGTGAGAAGATTGCTGGCCTATCAACCAAACAAGTTAAGGTTTTATACACACCCAAAGCCAAAGGCGAATGTCGTATATAATTCACAGTAATAGAGTAGATTGTACACTAATCCCGGTGCTCTGCACCGATGATATTGTTACAGCTGTTCTAACTATAACCACGGAAGTAGGAGAGAAGAAACTGGTGGTGTGTTCAGCCTACTTTCCAGGGGATGAGGCTTTGTGTCCACCAAGCATTATAAGCGACATAGTTGCAAATTTACTAGGAAAACGATTACAGCTCATTATAGGATGTGATGCCAACGCCCACCACACCATATGTAGAAGCACAAACGTCAATGCAAGGGATGAGTCTATTTTGAATTTCATCTTATCTGAAGGTTTGGTTATACTTTTGTCACTAAGGCACGCAAAGAAGTGTTAGATTTAACACTCTGCAGAAGCAAGATAAGTGATATAATAACAAATTAGGTTATATCTGACGAACCGTCATGTTCGGATCACAGACATATACGATTTGACCTTGATATTTTTCCATCGGAAATTAAATACAGAAATCCTAGAGATACAAACTGGGTAGGATATAGGGAGTCCCTCAGTAAAAATCTCGAGGAAAGCATGATCTTGTTTAAAGGCCCAGAGGTTATAGATTCGGAGACAGAAACGATAAGCGAAGCTATTGTGGCGGCTTACCAGGAAAACTGTCCAGAAAAAACAAGGAAAAGTACGGGTAGTAATACAGTCTGGTGGAACAACGGCTTAAAGAGGATGAGGTCGGAAGTCCGAAGCCTATTTAATAAAGCCAAAAGTAACCAAGATTGGGATGCCTACAGGTATAAGCTAACGCTATACCACAGCCACCTTTACTTCCAAGCCATGAAGTAGAAATTTCGCAACAACGCGTGGTAGTCCGATCGTGGTTTGTTTTGTTTAAGATTTCATATAGGAAGGCTTGTAAAGTTTGTTGAATTTAGTGTTTTTTAACTTTATTCGAATGTTTTATTTGTAAATTGTGTTTAAATCAATTAGAAAATATTAATATAAGTGAAATTTCATTAAATTTAGAACTTATAGAAGATTCTTAACGACAATTTAAAAGGCAAGTATAAATATAACCTAGAAAACAAACTGAAAATAATAATACTTTTGCTTCTCGTTACAAAATATGTAAACTAAAAACAACAATAATAATACTTTTGTTTTTTGTTACAGATGGCCTGGCATTGTTGTGTACCTGGTAGCAAAACCAATTATGCCAGTACTTTAAAAACAAAACAGGCAGAAGGTATGTTTTCGTTTTCCAAAGATCCCCAAAGAAGATATACTGGGTTATGCTCTATTCATAGAGAAGGCTATACAATTACCAAATCTTCCGTAGTATGTGCCAAACATTTTCATGAAGATGATATTCAGCGGACTGAACAATGAGAAGATAAAGATGGAAATGTACACATTGAAAAGTTAATATTTCCCAAATTAAAAGGCAATGCAGTTCCTAATATATTTCCTGAAGTACCATCATATGTAACTGTTCATCGTACTAAAGAAAGAAGGAATCCCGAAGACAGAAGAAACTTTTTGAATAAGAAGAGGGAACAAGAGATAACATAATTATGACAATTAGACTTAGACAATAATATCCCATTGAAAAACTGGATAAGTAAAATTACAAGTGACTGTGTATATTTCTATGTATTAAACATTAATCAGTTGGGACACAAGTGTGATAATATTTGTGTAATATGTAGTGTAATAGTTAGCAGTAATTTTAGTGTAATCGTCAATGTAGGTAAGAATAGATTAAGTAGTAATGATTTGAAATGGATTTTACAATATAGTAAATTAACAAGATGGTAACAATTAGAGAACTTACTTTCTCATTTAGATCTGCTTTTTAAATAAGTGATAACAAATTTGAGTATTCAAAAATCTTTTGAGAATATAGGCTATTTTAAATCGATATACAAGTTATAAATGGTATGTTACATTCAACACATTTTTCATGTACCTATACCTCTTTTAACTTGATCTACATATATGACAAAAAACCTATTCATATATAAAATTGCTACTTTCGTATACCTAAGTATGAAAATTCAACAAAAGTTATAAGTAAATAGTAAAATATCTAATTTTCAATTAGATTTATTTAGAACCATATTTATATTGTGTCTGATTTCTTAGGATGAATTTTTTAATCATAATAGTTACACCAAGTTTTTACTTAACAACTTAACAATATTGTGTTATTTATATGCTCAAGTACTTAATATTTAAAATTTCTAGGGATTCTTGACTACATTTGATTCTAAGATTAACTGTTTGACACTGTATTTTAAGTGCAATAAATTTTACTCTAGTGATTATTTTATTGATAAGATAACCTAAATAATAATAAAACTTTATATATATTTATTAGATAAATATAAGGTTTTATTAATTTAATTTCCCTAAAAATATTTCTGTAATGAATTGAAGTTTTCAAAATATCAGTTTCCTAAAATTTAAATTTGTTCAAATTTTCTGGTAGACCTTACAGCTGATTATCGGACTACCGACGTCATAGAATGCGGTGTTGCCTTTTTTACTTCATGGCTTGGAAGTAAAGGTGGCTGTGGCTATACAATAAAGATCCGAAAAGCTAAAAGGAATTCATTTAGAGAGTTTTGCGAGGAGATTACATATATCCCTGCATGTTCTCGAATACATAAAGTCCTGGGAAAGGATGGTGCTACAACGAAAGAAGTAGGTTTCCTAAAGAAAGCTAATGGCAAATTTACGGACACCAAAGAGGAAAGTCTTAGAGAACTGATAAACACGCAATTTCCGGGCTGATCAGTTCTGGATGATGTAGATAGGCAAACCAACGTAGACCAAAGGCTCACTAGCCCAAGGTCTATAGATTGGGAAATAGCCACAGCAATCACAAGACCAAACAGAATTAGATGGGGTAAAAATGGGGTGCTAAAAGATAATCCTCTAAGCAATCGTCAATACCTAACCTGGTAAATCTACGGATTCTGCGTTGGATGATCTAAATAGGCTTATCTCAAAGTGAATGGAAGGCAAAGAGATAGCAATGGCCGCCTTTTTAGATATAGAAGGTGCATTTAATAATGTTACCACCAGCTCTTTGATAGGAGCTATGAGTAGACGAGGCGCACCTGCGGTAATATGCAGATGGATAAGGGCATCCCTAGAGAATAGGATAGTAATGCCCACTCTAGGTAAAACAACTGTCAAAGCAAAAGTAGGTGGAGGCTGTCCACAAGGAGGAGTTCTGTCCCCTCTACTTTGGACAACCTTGGTAGATGATCTCCTCAGAAATATGTCCACAAAGGCTTTTATTGTCTAGGATATGCTGACGATATAGCAATCGTCGTCAGGGGCAGGTTTGCTTAGGTGGTGTCTGTGAGAATGCAAGCAGCCCTAAATATAGTTGACGACTAGTGCAAAGAATTGAGACTGATAGTAAATGCTCAGAAAACACGAATCGTCAACTTCACCAAGAAAACAGCACTACAAGACCTAAAACCACCGGTGCTGGGAAGAACAGAGATTTCATTTGCCAAAGAAACAAAATACCTTGGGGTATATTTTGATCATTCTTTAATCAGTGCGTGTTGCCAGTACTTACATATGGTGCAGAGACATTAACACTTACCAAGAAAGTAAGAAATAAAATTTGTGTTACCCAAAGAGCCATGGAACGATCGATGTTAGGCATTTCTCGTAGGGATCGGATCACGAACAAGGAAATTAGACGGAGAATAGGAGTGACAGATGCCTTAGAAAGAATTATGACCCTTAAGTGGAACTGGGTGGGGCACATAGCTAGAATGTCGGATAACAGATGGACACAGCGAATAATACAGTGGAGACCGAGACAAGATGCACATCGAAGTAGAGGTCGTCCACCAACAAGATGGTCTGATGACATAAAACGGATCGACAAAAATTGGATGCAAACAGCACAAAACAGAAATACGTGGAAAAGACTGAGGAAGACCTATATCCAGCAGTGGATAGATCCAGGTTAAATGATGATGATGATATTTTGATCATAGGCTTACATGGAATACTCACATTCTAAAAATCACACAGAAAGCTACTATGTCCCTGGGCAGATGTAGAAGAATGTACGGTAAGAGTGCAATTATAAGCAATGACCTTATTATCAATAAGGTCATTGCTTTTCAAATCTTGCAGGCTCACTTGAATGTTATTTCCTCTTGACTAAACAACCTAGCTAATTAAAGCTAATGAAATCTATCATGTCACCTACACCTGCGAAGAGGTGCCTGTCCAACCATGCAGTTTTTGCAACAAAAAAAGATGCAAAATATCTGAGAATCCATCTGGACCGACGATTAATTTAGACGACACATATATTTGCTAAGAGAAAGCAACTAGGCTTAAAACTTGAGCAAATTGTACTGGATGTTAGGTCGTAAATCACAATTAACAGTTACCAATAAACTGATAATTTACAAAGTTGTCCTAAAACCGATATGGAGCCACGGAATTCAATTGTGGCGGACAGCACCCACTCAAATATCGAAATTCTATAAGGATTCCCATCCAAAGTGTTTAGGATTATCGTAAACGCTCCATGGTACGTAACTAACAGTGTTATTGCTCGTAATCTTAAAATGAAATCTGCCACAAAAGAAATATCCCCAATAACCCCAACGCATTGGCTCAACCGGTAATGAGACATTCCATCCAGCGAAGGTTACAGTTTTCTTCATTGAGTAGGATGGGCAGCATCTTTGACTTTTCTTTCTTTTCATGTCACGTAATTGTGATTACAATAAATTGCATATTAAGCTTAATCCTATATAAACGTAACAATAATCTGATTTTGAAGCAAAGAATATTCAGTTAGAAACATCTAATTGCTCAGAAATATGATAAAATCTAGTATATTTTAAAGTTGATACTACTAACCTGGAGGTAGCCTTTGTCTTCGAGTAACTGCCTGGATTCCAGGATTCGGACAAGGTACAATAAAATCGTTACAAGGTTGAGACTGTATCGCCGCAGATGGATGTTCTACTTCTACGCTTGCTGGCCGACCTCGACCTGCGTTAACAGATACTATATGCGGTACTCCTCCGGCGTTTGCAGTGTTAATTTGAGGCTGCTGTTGGGAAGGTGGCGCGCTTGAGGAGCGTGGAGTGTTTAGAGGATCATGTACACCCGTTCTTTGAACGAGTATATACTGACCTAGAGTGCCAACAGGTGTTTGGGTCTCAATTACCTACAAATAATACAAAACGTTAATCGCCTTTGTCCCAACTGTACTCATTATTACGACAAAATCTTATCATTATAGCCATATAACATAATAACTACTTTAAGTGTTGAAATTACGAATCACTTTTAAAATTTTATTGGTTTTGGTTTATAATTAGAGATAAAAGTGGTAAGATATTTTCATGGGAACCAATACTATGAATATACTTGTGTACTCCCCTTCTAAAATTAATTAGCTTTGGCGAAGTTATAAGAGAAAAACGAACCACAATTCCAGTTAGTTCGTAACTGTCTGTCTAAAATGACCTATGATGTTTATATTCACGGCCAATATCTCATTTTGTTTAGTTGTGATGAAACCTGCATTTTATGTGGTAAGATTTGTCAATCTAGCGTTAATTTATTCTTTTGTGGGAAAATGACGGCTTCTTTGGCAATTTAGAAAAAGGTCAGACCAAAATGCACCTGTTTTTTCGCCTTAATTAGATGTTTCCTTCTAATATCTTTGAAATGTACTGTAAGTGTTAAGTTTTATTGACTTTTTGCGTTATTTAGAATATAAATTTTAATCTTTTGAGTACATTACGTTATATAATAACATTCCCAACAGAGTAGCCTCCCACATTGTAGCAACCTCAAGACCACCTAGAGATCGTGACCACACCACCTAACTAAAACAAAAACTAAAAATACTAAAGTCTGCATGCCCGCCTACATCTGAATACTCTGACGAGTTTACTCCAGAAGAATCAGAAATTCAGCTCCGATAAAATCCATCCAGAATTTTTACTTCACTGTGGCAAATAAGCTAGGAAATGGCTGGTTGATTTCTATACAGATATGTTAAAATCAAAAGAAATCCCCTATTAGTTAAAAAAAAGGTCTCCCTTATAGCCATATTAAAACCTGAAAAGGCAAATGATCAGCCCCAAAACTACCGTCCGATTGCATTGCTGAGCTGTGTCTATAAACTATTGGAAAGCTTAATCTACAATAAAATTAGTAGAAACATATTTGAATTGATACCTATTGAGCAAGCAGATTTCAAACCCAATCGCAACTGCATAGATCAGACATATCCCTAACAACATATATTGAAGCAGGTTTTCAAAGAAACCAAAAAACATCCGTTGCTTTCATTGATCTATCAGATGCATACGATACTGTCTGGAGATAAGGACTAATCTGCAAACTAATCAGTGCCATCCCGTGTTAAAGGGTAACTAAACTCATTGATAGCATGCCCACCGACAGCCAGTTTTGGCACCCTTACTGTTTAATTTATACATTGCGGACCTATCTGGGACAACTTCGCAGAAATTTGGCTACGCTGACGATCGGTCCATTGCAGCAAAACGTAATAACATGGATATTACAGAAAACATACTAACGGATGATCTTGCCATTATGGGAGAATACTCTCGCAAATGGAGGATACGGCCCAATGCAACGAAGTGTGCTGTTTCCATCTAAATAACGCTCAAGCCAACAAAAAACTCTCCGTTCAGTTTGAAAACAGACTCCTCACTCATAACTCAACACCAAAATATCTTGGAGTGACTCTGGACAGAACATTGAGTTTTAAAGAACACCTACAAAGAACGACAGCATAACTGAAAACGAGAAGTAATATCGTCCAAAAGCTATGTGGCATTATATGGGGGTCCTGAGCCTCAGTACCCAGATCATCCGCTCTCGGACTTGTATACTCGGTGGCTGAATATGCTTTCCCGGTATGGCTCGATAGCAAACACACGAAAATTATTGAGATCCAATTAAACCAGAAAAATGCGAATGATCTCAAGTACAATTAGACCCACACCAAATTATTGGCTTTCCATTCTGAGTCACAATGCACCGCCAAAACTGCGAAGAAGTCATTCTATTCTCAGAAAATATCAAAAAATTGAGGCTAACCATCAACTACCTATCCACCATGATAAGCTTGATATCGAAATGGACAGACTGCGCTCCAGATATGGTCCATTGCCATTAAGTTTATTTCAGTTTAAAGACTGCAACCTGTTTTAGTTATAAAATTATTGATTACAATATGGTCACTTGTAAATTGTTTGTTGAGCATGAATATATGTTGGCTAATTGTTAAAATTAGCATGTATTTGTTTATAATGTTTTAGAGCATTTAATACAAAATAATTTTTAAGACTTATTGACGATATAACTTTTTTGAAGATTTTATTGACTGTATTATATTTAAACATGTCAATTTTTATAATTTTCTTTGATAATTCGTTGATATATTTTCTGACGTATTTTTTTTTAATATATTTGAGAGAAATGTTAAAATGTTATCTCAGGTTAAGAGTCATTTGCGCCCATTTTATTTTGCAATTTAGCTCTATTCCGTGTTTCTTGTTTTTCTTTTGTCAAAATATTATCTAATTAAAAAAATCGTTAATCGCCACGTCTCATTCCATCGAGATTTCCTTCCTCTCCACCGTCAACTATTCTCTTAACCCACATCTTGTACAACGTCTGCTATGTACACCTCTTTCTAACCATTTCCTCTTTGATCTCTTATATAATATCTTCTAATTTGCCTAATATGTCAATAATACTTAAAGTATATAGGTAAACTTTTCTTAATCACCAACCGCCCTCTTTATTCCTAATATTCAACAATCTACTTTTGATCTTTATACCTAACCCCCCAACCGGGAGTTAATTCCCCAGAAATATTTTTAACCCACATAAAATCATACTAAAACCCTCATCATATTCAATTTTATAACCAATATTAGTTTATTAGTTTATTATATGATTCGTTTAAGGTTCAACCACACACAAAAACAGCCTATTTTCATTTTGAATAATAGTCAGTAACACCCTTTTTACACTTACAACCAATAAAAATATTTTTCCGGGTACCAAATGTTGTTTTTTTTTACATAACGGGCCTTATTATGAACCAATAATTCTACTTTCAATCAATTCTTACAACTGTAACCCACCACATGAATACATTTTTATGAACATACTCTGAACTTTCAACAGTTTTAATTATAACTTGTCACACATTCTTCTGTGGTTGGAGCTCTGCAGATCTTAGTTTTCTTTTCGGTTTTACAATTATTTCATCACTTACTTTACTAATATTTATTTACAAATTGTTCTTTAGCTCCAATATGTTCTCTACAGACATCAATTTTGTTGGTTTTTTCATAATTCAATTAGCCTTACATAAATCAGTTAATAATTAAAACATTCAACTACAAAACAATTGTACACCCTATCAACACAAAAATTCTTTCCACGTACCAATTGATATCTTTCAACATAAAGGGCCTTATTACCACCTACATTTACAAGTAACCAGCTTTCATACCCACAACTGACTAAATAATGTTACACACATACTTTTATATCCTGAACTTTAATTAACTTTTTTTCCAATATAACCAATTTTTTCCCTACCACTACATCTCACCTTACCATATATTGACTAATACATACTCTTTATTAAATTATAATTGTCTCTTTATTAGTTTTCTATATTCAATAAATCCACACATTAAACAGCTTAACCCCCTATCATCAACAATTAATATCTTCACATCATACACATACCTACCATATAATTTTCAGGCACCAAATGTTTACAAACATAGGGTCAATATCCTTATTAATATTCCTTATATTATTATTCCTTATTAATCTTTATTTATCCCCAGTACAGTAAGTATTTGTATTGATGGTTGCCTACGTACAACCCAAATATTTTCTTTGGCATTCCATCTCAATAATTATTATACAATTTTTAAACACATTTCAAGATAAATCATAAATCACAATAAACTCTTCTATATTTTATGTCATAGATTTCTACATCCAATTCTATACATACTAAAAACAGTTCAACGTTCTGCATTTATCAATTAATAACTCAACATCATACATGCATCTTTCATTTAATTTCCAGGTACGAAATGTTAATTTATAACATTAAGGGTCTTATTAATATCGCTTTTATCATTGCCCCACTAGGTACATGTATTGATGTAGGCCTACTTTAAATTCAAACATTTTTAAAGTCTTTCCAGTTTCATCGCAAGGTTTTAACATAATTTTCAGGTTATACCACACTTCAACATATTGATTTTTGCTACTGTTATACGAAACAACAAAATTAAAAATTTTAAAATTTCTCAACATATTCATTTAACACATTGTTGGCTGGTGTCACATTAAGACACATACTACAAGTTACTGCTTTGTTCATGCATCCTTTTAAAAACTGTCATTTTAATTAATTGCCATCTAGAACACATTCACACCAGGTCTGAGGGTCAGCAACAACCTCTATTGAGAGTCTTACGTTGCCATGAATGGTATCTGTTAAATAATTTATAATCACATGTTTTCAACAATAATGTAACATACAACAAATTTTGTAACTTTTTAAGGGTTTTTACCCAGATATTTAATGGATTGGTTCGTGTATACCTGGTAAGTATTTAACCACATCGATTTTTCAACCTTAGTCAACATTTACCTTTAGTGGTAATACTTTAGGTAATAACACACTAATAATGGATCTAAAAAAGTTCTTTGATGTAACCTGATTAAGGTTTTTTAATTATATACCTGTTATAAAGGATTTTTAAATAAAACTTTTGTGATTCATGGTGTACAGCAGTGTACTACAGGAATTTAATTTTCCTTGTGGATGTTTTCCAATTATTATCTACTTAATTTATCTATCGGTTTTTAATCTGTACTTCTCTATCATCTATATCCTTACCCACCCTCAATTAAGCTCCCAAACTGAGCAACGTGGTCTTATTTAAGTCTTGGTGAACGATCAGCTTTTTGTCATCTATTTTTGTTAGCTTTTTCATTACAATATGAGGTCGAAATATGCACATTTCCCATTTTATTACTACTGTCATAAACAGATTTTTAGTCAGACCAACAAGAAATCCTTTGTGTGCCCCTCTTAAATTAATTTGATCTGCAACCTAATTCATTTTATAGTAAATTTGTTTTGTAGACTTTGTTTATGAGTTTTATTACATTTCTGACGAATCGATCCCCTGTATATGTTACAGAAGTAACCAAAAGACTTTAAACGTGCTTTAACTCCTTTATTTTCTTTAAATTTGTATTTTAAAGAAATCCGACATTTGTGTTAATTCCTTGTGTGGAAGCGACGACCAACCAAAAGAACGAATGCTTTTTCTAAGGCGTGCTTTAAATACGATTTTTTGGTTGGTCCGTTATTTTAATTTAAAAAAATCAGCAGTTGCTTTCATGAATAAAATAGTTATCAGCAATTACTGAATCAGTAGCCGCAAATCTAGATGATCCAATAGTCAAGGATCCAAGGTCCATTTTCACCATTTATTACTAACAAGCTAATTTTTCCTGACTAGCTTAATTTTGACGAGACGTCTAACTTTTGTCCTTACAACAATCTAACAGACGTACCAGGAATGAAATATGTTGATTTGACGACTCTCAAAACTTTATTACCAACAGGAGTTTTTCTGGTTTATTCTCAAGATAATTATCTAAATTAGCCAAAAAAATATTTGTCCAACAAAATTCAAGGTTTAATCAAAGAGTTTCCCCTTTCAAAAATGTATCATTAACGAGGTCATGAAAAATAATTACCAACCACCTGTTTTTTTTTCTGTTAGTTATAACCAAGAGAATTATGGTTATAACCAACAAGTTATCATCGATAACCTAATATATCGATCTACAATCAAAATTTTGAAAAAGTTATGATAAAGAACATCTACGGGAACAAACTATAACGACTAAAGTAAGAACATGCAAGACATTCTCACGTAGAAGTTACATAGATCGGCTGAAAGAAAATATAACTAATATAACTAAGATATATTAGAGACTTCACTCCGAGAGAGAGAGAGTACCACGATACAGCAAAATATGAAGAGAAGAGAGACGAAGATATCATGTACGTCTTAAACATATATTGGGTATTGGTAGTGCGTAGATATTTCGACTTTATCAAGAGGGTTCGGGTTGATTTGTACCTAATATACCCCGGTGGAACTGGAGAATTTTTAAGCTTCATAAACAGGGCCCAAGGTAGAATAATCGTCATGTCCTCTTTGAAGACACAGAAGATGAGCTATCAGAATGTCACTTTAACAGCTATCTAAGTTAACATCACATTGAAATATATATAGAAAATTACAGTAATTACCTGCTTTGTTAGTAATAACTGTGTAACAGGTTAATAAACAGGTTTCATATTCGTTGATAAGTCTAAATAATTTTAATAAATGTATACAAACCTCTGGACTAATGGCAGGCCCTTGCGGCAACACAGCCATCGTCACAGGAATTCCCTGGCCTGCTGTAAAAACGTGCCTAACGACCACAGGAGTTGGTGCCGGTGGTCGCTGTTGTTGAAAAGGAACAGTCCTCATTCTCTGAGCTACTCCTCTGATACCATTTCCACCTTGAACCATCTGGTAAGCATTATTAGGCGCGGGTAGGGGAGGAGTAAATGTTTTGTTAACTGTGGGGCCTCTAATGGGAGCGAATTGTTGTTGCCTGTTAAAAGATTGTCTATTGAATCGAATGAAAAATGATTCAATAGAAATGTGTCATGTTAGTTGAATGTTAAATGATTAATGTAGTGTTGAAGTAGAACATCATGAGTTCAATTGGACATTTCTTTGAATTTTAGTAATTGGTAGTATAAATTCGAAAACAAAAATCGAATAACATAAATCTTATTAATTTTTGCTTTTTATTTTCCTTACCTATTGTTCTCGTTCTTCTTCACGTTATTCACCTGAGCAGCAGCCAATAAACTTGGTGGTGGTTTTAACTGGCATCTAAGCTGATCTCTATTGGGACTATTTTGGATCACAGCCTGGCATATCTGGTAGCTTCTCTCCAAATTTACCGCTCCAGGGGGAGGTTTGTTGTTACTCCTGTTATTTAATAAGAAAATACGTACTACCATTATACATATTTAACATAAGAATAAAAATATTAAAGAACTAAAGCTAGGTCAGTACATTAAACAATTTAACTGGAAATTCTGAAATAATTTACACGAGAAGATTAAAAAATGAACATTAAAGTGCAAGTTTAATCGACCACTTAATTAATAGTATGATACATATAAGTAGACCAGGGTGTACCTTGTTTAGGGTGGGGTAAATATGATACTATTTTTTTGCTTTAATCACTTCGAAATATTATTAGAAATAATACTTTCACTAAAAGGGGACTTCAAAAGGTGGGCTAAATTTTTTATTAAACAATTTGTGAAAACATTCAATATTCTTCTCTTTTTTATTGTAATATCTCGGTAGCTCATTTTAGAAAAAAATTTCTAGAGGCAAAAAAGTTTTGCAATTAAATTTTCTACAAGATAAAATTTAATGCAAATTAAAAAAAATTATTATTATAAAAAAATTAGCAAAAATCATTAAAAACGGGTCAAAAATTAATGTCTTTTAAACGTTTTCAGATATTTAGGTACAAAATTATGCAGAGCCTACAAAAAAAGATTTAAATACTTACAAAAATTTAACATATAAAAGGACATTCAAGCGTTCAAATAACACTCGCATCATTGAAATACGTTATATAGATTTAAATCAAGTATCAAGAGTGCCATCAACCATGGAATAACAACCAGGAGATTAGAGCACGCATCGCAAAAGCTAGATCTACCTTCAATCAGATGGGGGCCTTCTTCAAGAGTCACAACCTCTCTCTTGATACAAAAGTAAGAATGCTGCAATGCTACGTCTTCTCTGTCCTTTTTTATGGTGTTGAATCGTGGACCTTGAACGAAGATATGTGCAAAAAACTAGAAGCATTTGAGATGTGGCTATATCGGAGAATACTTAAGATCCCGTGGACTGACCGAGTCATAAATGAGGAGGTCCTCAGAAGAATGAATAAGAACCGAGAGGTACTGACCACCATTAAATCTCAAAAGTTACAATTCTTCGGACATATTATGCGAAATGAATCCAGATATGCTCTCCTTCAAGCCATCCTGCAAGAAAAAATATTTGGAAAGCGAGTTCCAGGAAGAAGAAGAACATCTTGGTTAAAGAACCTCAGAATCTGGTTCAATACAACATCTGTGCAGCTTTTCCACGCTGCTGCAGATAAGATAAAGATTGCCATGATGATCGCCAACATTTGTAACTTTCGTAACATTAAGAAGAAGATCAACTAGATTAGCCCACATCTTCCATACTGATTCCACATCCTACATCTTCCATACCAGCATCTTGATGTGTACTACATGAAATCGACTTAAATCAAATTGTGGAGAACATAAGACTTTAGAAACTTTACCTAAAGCCGATGAGTCTGAAATAAATCTTAGTCAGCCTACAACTTCCAGGGAAACCAGTGTATCTAGGAACAAGATAAAGAAAGGCCTCAAGAAAGTTAAGCCAGATAAATAAGAAGTAAATGTAGCCAAAAATGCTCAGATGATCGGAAAACAATGTGTGGGGTACCGAAGAGACAAACAAGGTAAAGTTACAGTATTGTGCGAATTAATGGAATCACTGTGAATTTTTTTTCATTTTTTCACAGTTGGCAACACTACCTACACAGTTGACAGCTGACCAAGCATTGAAAACATAACCTTACTGTGTGTTGGTGTGTTTGAGTGTGTTTTAGGTCATTTCTTACCAAGCTTGTGTTGTTTTGGGGGTTTTTGTACTATTTTGTGTTGTTTTTGGTTTTATTTCAACATGGATATTACGCAAAGTGAAAAGATTGTCACGTTAAGTGAACACACTAGTATGTCACAAAGAGAGATTGCTAGAACGTGTGGCGTGAGTCAGGGGGTAGTAAGCAAAATTTTGAAGCGTAAACGAGAAACGGGATCAGTGGATGTGAAAAGGTTAGGAAAATGTGGAATAAAGAGAAAAACAACACCAGCAGATGATAGATTTTTACTTCGAAAGAGCAAATTGGATCCAAGAAAATCAAGCCAAGACATACAACAAGATCTAGCAGCATCAGCTATAGTGATTCATGACTCAACTGTTCGTAGAAGACTTTTGGAGAATGGTAGAAGGGCAATTCGTCCACAGCAAAAACAGCTTCTAACTGAACGAATGAAGAAACAAAGGCTACTGTGGGCCAAAAAATACTCTAATTTGACTGTAGGCGACTGGAAAAAAGTCCTATTTACAGATGAAACCCACTTTATAGTTCAGGGACAGCGGTCGAAATTCGTCAGGAAGTCTGACAATGAAAAGCTTACACCATCTCATATTGATCAAACCGTAAAACATCCAGCCAAGAAAATGTTTTGGGGATGTTTTTCATACATTGGGGTTGGATCTTTGATGCCAATTGAAGGCATGATGAACAGCCAAAAATACAAATCCATGTTGGAAAAGTATTTGGACAAACAACTCCAAAAATGTCAACCCCAAGGGGGAGCGATTCTTCAACAGGACTCTGCTCTCTGTCACAAATCAAAGGAAATGATGGCATTTTTTAAAATAAGAAGATTAATGTTATAGATTGGCCCGGTAATTCGCCCGACCTCAACCCCATTGAAAATTTATGGGCCATTTGCAAAGCTAGACTGCGAAAAATCGACTGTACCACTAAAACAAAAATGATAGAAGCGGCCATTCAGGTTTGGTATCGAGATGAAAGGATATCTGACAACTGCCAGAAACTCATAGAATCTATGCCAAAACGGGTAAAAGCAGTAATTGCTGCCAAAGGGGGACATATTTCCTACTGAATGATGTAAGTTTACCTTTATAGTTTTGTCAAAATATAATTTTTTACTAAATAAACTGTTTTTTTCATTAAAACAGCCTATGATTCCATTAATTCGCACAATACTGTATATGTGTACCTGACCGTAGCGAATGTATCATGGTTGTGGCTCTAAAAAGTATTGAGCCTGAAACTTTGTCACGTCGCTGTTGTTCCTACATATGTACTTTAAACCTTCAAGATGAGAAAAAAGTAGTATGCTAGAAGAAGTTTTTAAATACCTCTAGGCTTAATGAATGAATGGTCCACAACTGGGTACAACTACGTAGTCAGTTAGATAAAAGCGTTATCGTGAGTAACTGTGAGAAATACAGCAACGATGACAAAATAAAGGATAATAAACACGGTACAATTAACAAAATTAAGTTGAAAGAGTTGAAAAAGAGAATAAGAAAATAAATAATAAATAAAAGGTAGTCACAAAGACGAAGAGTATTGACCATTGATGTTGAAGCAGTAAAATTGTCACCTTTAACAAAAGCTTCAGCATTATACCACAAAACCAAATTGTGTTGTTAAAATTTTACTGTCTTTAATATGGTATCCAAACACTGCACGAACTTTTGGTGGAATAAGGCACACAGTGACTTACAAGCTTTCACTATTGTCTCTTTTTTAATAGACTAATTAAAAGAACACTCTCTGAAAGAAAAATTACCGGTTGTGATATATAGCGACGGATGCACATATCAAAACCAAACGTCACAATTGCAAATGCATTGTTACATTTTGCTATCCAAATGGATTTAGAAATAAAGCAAACATTTTAAGTTAAAGGGCATATACAGATGGTTTGTGATTCTGTCCACGCCTGTATTGAGAGGCAATTGAAAAATAAAGATATTTATGTGCCTGCTGATTATGTGACTACTTGCAAGGATGCCAGAAAAATTCCATTTACATAAGACGTAAAATACATTATACAGCCACCAAATTGCAGTATTATGATTCCATCCATCCAGGTGAAAAACCAGGTGACCCGATCGTCACAGACATTGTGTGTCTAAAATATGGCATCAATGTTATTAATTATAAATTAAACTACGAGAATGTATACCAAATATTACCGGGAAGAATGGGTAAAGTGCCGATTGACGAGTAACCTCTAGCTCTACTTGAAAATCTGATTCTAATTCCATTGGCTAAATGAAAACATTTACAAGAATTAAAATGTGTTATTCCCCCAGATTTTTCATAGTTATTATGACAATTTAGCGCACCTAAGCAAAAAAATCAGCCGAGGCAAATAAACATTTAGAAGAGAATAAAAAGAAAAAATCAGAATCAAACCAATTTAAAACAAAAAAAGGACGAATAAAACTCAATTTATTTTAAATTTATTTGTTACTGTATGGTTTTATTCATCTGAATAAAAAAAATTGTTACTTTTAGTATTTTTAGGTTTATTATTGTAAAATTTCTATAACATAATATTCAGTATTAATATCGATGCATGCCACCCATCATATCAACTTTAAAACAACACAGAGTTTTTGGGTGATGTTCCTCGATACGCTGTACTTATTAAAAATCATATTACAGTAATTCTTATATAAGTAAGAGCTAGACTAAATGGATTATCTCGTGGCGTGTACGTCATTGTGTGCAAACGGCCGATATTCGTCTGACGGTCGTGGTTACTAACGGATATAAAAGCATTGCCCACAAATTTTCTATCAACCGAAGGAAACGGATCGCTTCTACAGAACGTTTAATAATTAGTCTAGTAAAAATAGTGTGTAGTTAGGTACTAAGTGTCTAGTAAAGTTAGTGTGTAAGTTAGGTATTAAATATAAAAACTTTTTTGAATTAACAGTTTATTGAAGAGTTTAACAATTTTCTATTTGCGGTAAATATATTTTTATTTACATTGTTATTTGTACAAAGTTATTTATAACGAATGAGTAATATCTAATAAAAGTTTTCTACTCAGTGTTATAATAACTGATTCACTGTTGTTGATTTGTTCTTTCAGGAGACGTATTTGTTGAACTAACATCTTTTATGTGCTGTCTTTGGTAACTTAACGCAAAGTCTAATTTTTTTCATAATTACACATTTATGTTAGGAGAACTTATTATCAGTATTTATTTTCAAGAATATCAGTGAATACAGCTAGTGAAAACATTAATCGTAATATACAAAATTAAAG